TTTCTTTATTCACGATATCATCAGCCGTATCTCCTTTGACTTCGGCGTTCATAAAAGGAAGTTTTTTTAGAACTATCGGTATTTTTTCAGGATATGTTGTTCGTGATAAGTTTCCATCGATGAATCTGGGTGGATAGGTATTTCTGGTGAGTGTCTGTCGAAGTTAAAGTAGTTCATCATCTACTGTGTCATCTATTGTGTCCTTGAGCATGAATAGTGAATTAATTTTCTCTTTCTGCTCATTGGGACTAAGTTATGGAAATTCTTATACTGAACAAACCAGGTCAGTTTCCTATACATATTTCTTTGTGAAAAACCATCTGGTTTTCTTTTCAGCAGTACAGAAAGAAAACAAAATTCCACGCTTAGGTAAATGATTTTACTGAAAAAGGATCAACTCGCAGAACATGGTCAACACATGCGTATTTGTTATTGAAAACCACTGTATTAATAAACATATGACATGATTAAAATAACATTTATCGAAAGAGAAGTTGATTCTGCATGATATCACGTTAAGTCTTATGACATAATGATGAAAACTGAATTCAAATGACTTGTTTGGAAGTAGAATCAAGAAACCTTGCTATTATTTGTACTATAGTGACCAGATACATTTTATGAATCAATTTCACTAAGTTTTATATCTAACTAAAAGTTATAACAAATGTTATGTAACACACAGTTATAATCAGTGACTGGGAGTGAAAATTACACAGATTCCAGCTACTGTGAGTTTCTGTAGTCAAAAGGCTCACCAACTTAGTTGCTCCATCTGGCTCTGTAAGATGATGACGACAAAAGATGAAATATGGATCTTTACTAACTTCTTATATATTCTCTAGCTGGATATTGTTAATACTAACGGAATAGAAGTCGAATACGAAAGTATTTTGACTATGTATAATTCATACATTCATTTATATAGATAGGAGATAAAAGATGGATATAGGCATGATAGTCACTTCAAGTCTACTCACAGTAATTCGATATGAATCAATTTATATGTGAAAAAAAGTTACATAACCAAATAGAGATGTGCATGAGCATATAGAAATGTACATAGATGTTGTTAAGCTCATTTTCTATTCCTGTCCCTATCCTCACCTCATTCAATACGTTTTTCATGTTTTGCTTTATACTACTAGGGAATATTCGGTTAACAGTTGCATTTTTAGTAGCTTCTAAGCCTATGGTGTAACGCAAGTTTGTTTGCTGTGTAGTATGCTAAATTATTTACATATACTTATAACATTTACTCTATTCATTATTATAATTACTTTCTCTCAACCCTTATAACAGTTATTCCCAGTTATGTACATTCCTTAAGTGTTTGTTTAAACGCACCAGCTTCCATATTTGAGTGCTCTTAGTTCACACTTTAGTCATTGACAAACCATTGTTAAAGTTATACATAGCTATCAGCTATCGTTTAGACTATCGTATGTTGTAATTTCTGTTTATGTTGTTATTACAGGAAGCCTTTCTCTTTCCAAACATACAGACGCGTCAATCGTTACAGACGCTTCACGAATCGACATTTTTAACTAACTTGTGTTTATTCATCAATAATAGGACCGTTCTTTAGACGAATAGCTGTTTCATGAGTATTTCAACCATGTAGTTGGACCATCCAGTAGAACTAACAAATGATAAGTCAAGACTAATTGTTATTGAATATTCCCAATATCACCAATAACTTTAAATTTTCACATACAAAGATAAGTTCACACAATGGTTTGTATCAATCAGTTATGTCAGTTGACGATACAGTTGTTAATTTGATTGAGTGTTGATTATGTTCGAAATGTATATGGGGTCGCCACACTGACAACTGAGGATGTTTGTACGGCAGATGTTTTCCGTCTTTTTTATGAATTATATGTTATCTTTATTCGGAAAATGATTTACAACTATTCACTAATCCATATACATCTTGTGAAGTAGGTTCACATAATACCTTATTTTATCCTCTTTGAATTGACTCATTTTATTTATTATAAAGATATTCTGTGTACGACATAACAGAACAGTATTAGTTCCCAGTTACATCAATGTTATGTCTGTCACTGTTATGTTTACGGAATAGTTAACTAGCCTATATGCGGTACCGAAATCTGAATCCAACGCTGTATAGTTAAAATGCGAAGACTAGTAATACAGATTTACTTGACTCGAAAAACAAATTAGAATAATACATGAATACACTCATACAGATCGATTTTACTAACACTTGATGATTATTAAACAATTTAATAGTGGAGTTCATAAGTCAGTTGAAGCTAGACCACGATGGAAAACCTGAAAGCACTGGACGGCCGTTTCGTCCTATTGTGGGACTCCTCAGCAGTGCGCATCCATGATCCCGCTAGTGGGATTCGAACCCGGTCCAGTGGTCAAGTACGCTAAGCGTTCGCGTGCGAGACTTAAGGCCCTGGGTTTGAATCCCCCAAGCGGGATCGTGGGTTCTCACTGTTTCCAATTGTTGTCTAACATCAATCGGTCCGAGATCTCAATCAATAACTTCATAATCTCCACAACCCTATACTGATATGTTCCAGTTTGCAGATTTATATTAAACGTATTGTAAAAAATTCGTTACTTTTTCTTAAATTTTTATTATTACGACTATTATTGTCGGGTGTGAACAGTTGTCAAACGGCCATTAATTTCATATTCAGTAAAATTTGACGGCGAATTTTGTTAGTGTATCATCGCAATTTTGCAATAAATTGTTACAATTGTGTCATTACTGATAATAACAATAATCGTAATATGACTAATAAAATATTGTAACCTGAAAATTGGACTATCTTTTCATATAAAGAAACAAAGACAACTTTCATTAGATTTATGAATAAATGGCAATATCATGATTGTTCTTCGCAAACAGTGTAAAGTTTAGTCAATCCAATCGGATTTTTTCGAAAGCTCTGAACGTATCATGAATAAAGTACGCGTCATACAAACATACTATACATTATTAGCGCCTATGTCTTAAATGATTGCATAGAAGTAATCTAGAAATCGCGGTGTACACGTATATTACTGATAAAAATAAATTTGTATCAGTATAAAGAGCCATGCATGCATTCTGTAATCATTTTCATATATTATATTGCTAGCATAACACTTCTAGATGCGTTAAATATATGTATTTAAAACTTTAAGGAGATAGTGAGATGCCCTTTTTCCCTAAAACTTAAAATGAAATTATTAAAGTTCTATACCCAGCGCTTTTTATACTAACTCAGGTAAGTTAATGTTTCCCAAGTACATTAAGTAATGATGCTTCTTTAGATTAAACCAAAGATACTTGGTCGTTTCATAAACTAATTTTTTATTCTTTTACAAATAAATATACAGTTCATTGTAGAATAAACAATCTAATGGGACTTAGTAAAAAGTTTGTTACCATAATAAAGTGGTGTTATACAATCCACCCATTGTTTGGTATACGTAAAACATGTATCATTTTAACAATTACCAATACAGAAAACCAAATAAATTCATTATTCTAAAGTACATGCTGATGTTGTTCAGAAGAATAATGAAAGCTTCACAACTGAACTATCCAATCCAGAGAACACAACACCTCCAAAATCTCATTGAGCTACAAATATTATTTATCATTTCCTTAATAACTGGCGTTATTCGAGTAACTGGAAAACGATGAGACACACTTGTCATCTGTTTTACATATCAATTATGTCCAAACAGGAGAACCACAGGGAGTTGAATACCGACTCACAAGGTATTACAGGAAGCATGATACTTTAGACAATACAATCGGAATCTGATCAGTGATTTTTTTCTCCTCGACTCAATTTCTTGTATAAAGCAATTTTTATTCAGTATATCAATAAACTAACGCTTTGTTCGCAACTTAGACTCCACTTGGTAACAACTTCACACTAATAGTTTAGGGAATTAATTTTGATGTAGGTTGATAGCAACTACACAATCATCACCTACATCGCCATATCTACATTACTTTAAAAAAGAACAAATGTACTTAGTTTAGTAGCAAATTTATTCACTGTTGATAATTCACACAGATAATACATATATTTAACACCATAAATGTGGTTATGCGGTCTATTACTGACTAGTTAAATTAGTAGTATTACTTTTTCCATTAAAAAATAAGCCAGTATTGTTATTAGCATTAGCTAGCAATATAAATGCTTTACAATAGTCCGCTTGAGTATTATTCAATCTAGCAACGTATACTACCAAATTTTAATTTTATTTGAGAAAATGTTAGAGAGCTTACAACTTAAGTCACGTAAAAGTAATCACACCTTCTACAGATGCTCTATATCACCCGAAATTAATAACAGTACTCCTGTTACCACGTTTATTTCAAAACTGTGTTCTATAATCATTAATAATGAAGTTTTATCAGTTCATTTATCACCAACTGAAAACAATTTATACATGCCACATCTGATTGGTTATGTGGTGAGTTGAAAGCTTGTTCTGTTCCTATAAAAAATTGAACTTAGATGACTGTTTTTTTACCAGTAAAATTACATAAATTTATCGATAAGCTGGATTAATTAGACACATCAGTTTAGGGTCAAACGATTAGTAAGAGGTGTCGATGAGCACAAGCTTTCGGTCGAAATTCGGCTCGACTTTCCGAAGAAAGCAGATATACAATAGTAGTCGAAAAACTGGCCTAAGCTTCTGGGGAACACATCGGAATGAATGAGGTTGTGGTAAAACTTGATGAAGCAATGGCTTAGTGTTTAGGTCGTTCAACCTCCAGCCACTAAGTTCCAGCCTCACCTACTTCGGTTTGAGCGACCAAATAGAATGACTACCCTTCATAATTGAAGTGTGGTTCATACCCAAGTATATAGAGAATGAGTTGATTTAAAAATTCACAGTTGATTCATTTAACCAATAAAAGCTTCCTACTTACAATTGGTTCCCTCACTCGAGTAACAGACTGATACCGTATATAAGAAGCGTGTATATGAGCATGTTAGTTCTTTTCATTTTGGACGACAGAATTAAGATTTAACATCAGGGAATATAAGACTAATGTTATAATTGAACTTGAAGTAAATTCATCGTTTCACTCAACAAACTGGTCTAAACTTTTATAAGGAAATATAATCAAACATCAAATTTATCAAATCAACTAAATGTATCACGTAAACATTTGTCAATATTTTACATATTATCATCAATACCCAACAATAATATATTTAAACATTAAATTTAAATGAAATGAAGACTAGGTAAACTGAATCCTAAAATCTGTACATGGTATAATTTAAAGATAACCATTAATAAAGAGTCGTAAACAGATAAATTTCATTAAATTATTTCATCGTATTGAGAAACTAACAGATTTCATTTACTGAAATGAGTATTTGAAAAGAAACAATGTGATTTTTCCAAAACCCTAACAAAAGTTAATGGCGAGACTGTAATTTATGGACGAGTCAATCAGAAGCGTTTGAGAGATTTCAAGGTCACGGTGCCAACTTAAGATTCGTTCAAAGGTCGTCGTCTATATATTATAGTCTCGCCAAATTAATTAATATATAAAAATAATTTGTTTTTCTAACTGTATTAAATCTACACGAATGGAAAGTAAGAACAAACGAATAGTTTGAATAAATAACGGATAGACATCAATTGAAACATCAAGTAATTCTATTATGGTGAAAATTTGTGTAGCTTAGAAAAGATTAAAAATTTAACGGTGTTGTATCATTAGACTTTGTAAAACACAACTAAGACTATCAAAATTAATTGCAATGAAAAGAGAGGACAAATTGGGCAATATAAAAGAAAATAAAAAAAATTGAATAAGCTTTTCAATTATTTGATGTATCCCAAGTGATTGTTTTAATATCCATAAATTCATGTAAAGCATTTGGTCCACCTTCACGTCCAATCCCGGAGTTTTTTATTCCACCAAATGGTAATTCAATAGTACTTACAAATCCTGTATTTAAACCAACCATTCCAACTTGTAATTCATCTGCAATTCGCCAAGCTTGATTAATATTCTCAGTGTAAATGTAACCAGCTAAACCATATGGGGTTGCATTAGCTAATTCAATCAATTCTTCCTCATTCTTGAATCTGAATGTTATGAGAAAGAGAGATAAGTAAAAATGTAGTAGTCAGTAAATATACAAGTTCTAACAAAATATGTACTCAGTCGATAAACTAATTGGTCGTTCAACATGTCATATTGTCTAGTCCTTAGTTGTGTTCGCATTAAAAATTAGTCACTAATTGATTCAACTTAGCGGTCGACATTTTTTTGAAGATACATATTCGAAGGTAGATGAAATAGAATCTCTGAAATTAAGTTTCCATGTTAGGTAGGACTGAAGAAATGGAGGATCTCTTTAGAATTGGTTTTTACATCCCAGTGGAAATATAACTTCTCTTAAGATTGTATATGCGTCTTTCTTGATTCGTTTTTTAAGTTGGCTGGTTGTATATTCGAGAAAATATGAGCTACACAGTATAACACTCTTGATTTTCAACTCAACCTAATTTCTGTAACTCACCTAGCTTGTGTTGCGCGTACTGTGGGGTATAAGTCAGTCAGTCAGTCACAACGTCGAACCTAGTAGGTATGTACATCGGTTCAAGTTGCCATACCCCATTAGCACAGATGAAATTGTCAGGCCAAATCCCAGAATGGTAGAGGCAGTAACAGTATTAGTGGTAATAAGAAAGGTTAGGCAATGAAGACATGAAGTAAGAAAATATAAATTAGAGAAAGAAAAAGAAAGCTATGATGAATTTAGGAACCCGGAATTTGAGGGGGGAGAAAGAATAGATGCAGCTGTGTCATGGCAAACGATTTTGGGTCATGTCATTTAAAGTCTCTAAACACACGGACCCCAACCAGGTGGTCTACACCTATTAACATGGCTTAGTCCATTTGTCTTCATGGACTGATGTCATGTTTTGGTTTGGCCACTCCTGTCTTTCTTTCCGCCTACTTCTACACTACATAACATCGCCCATTGAGGTAGGTAGTGGTTGGGCATATACAACACATGTCCCAACCATCCCAGTTGATGAACATTTGTCACTGCACTTTTACCGCGGGGTGACAAAAGAGTATATTATAAACAAATTCTAGAAGTGGCCAAATTAGCATATATATCAACGACAGATGAAGTTACTTATTGTTCAGCTGAACCATATTGATAAATTTGAACACCCAGGTTTGAGACCGTATAATAATCATCATCAGTGAACGTAGTCATTAGATGACACATGGCTTAAAATCGGTGGTTTGACATTAGTTTTGTTCTTACACTAGAATTTTATTATTTCAAACTGTTCATGTCTTGCAATTTTATTTTTTTCTGATCAAATGATATTTTACAATTAGTTTTATTCATTTGCTATTGTTTTAGAATTATGAATCTTGTTAAGGAAATGAAAGGAAATTATACGTTTTTTAAAATCAAAGTTTATCTATCATGAAACACACCTGCAAACTGAAGCAACAGGACCGAAAACCTCCTCTTCCATACATGCCATTTTTGTGTGACAATTCGACAGAACAGTTGCCGGATAAAAATAACCATTGGAGTAATCAAATCCAAATGAATTTTTACCCTTTAATCTACTATGGCCACCAATTAATGGATGTGCACCATGTTCTACAGCTAGATTAACTAATTTTTCAATCTGGAAAAAACGATAAAATTGGGAATTATTACACTTTTATTAAATGTTCACAAATTTGAACATAAGTTACTTTAAGAAACTTCTGAAAACATAGAATGTTATTGTCTCTGTACTAAACCCACCCAGCTCAATCTATGTCAGCTTAAGTCACCACAGTTCATATTACTGACATGATGAAAAGAAATCAACCAGAGAATGGCAAAAAAAATATAACAACGACAATAATAGACAATAATGAAAAATCTCTTCTTAAAGTAGCAAACGAATTGGGAAAAAAGATGGCAGGAATGTAAAATATAGGATCTCAGTAAGTTGGAGATGTAAAGAACGATAAACAATTAATAGAATACACGTATGTGATTTCTCTCCCACTTTCATTGCTATGCAAATTATTTATAATCATTGACATGTGGTCTCATAATTAACAGGACTATTTAACCAGAGAACAATATAGATATATTTTCTGTATTTTCAAATGACGAAGACATTTTCCTTTGTTAGCCATCTCATTTTTTGTACACGGGAAAAAGCAATGAAACAGCAAGAATTCGAACTTATGAACAAGCCGTAAAAAGAAATAAATGGTGCCATTACAACGAAGTGATTTATTTTATAAAAAGAATATTATTGAAATTCATTGCAGATAACAGTAAACGACTTTTTATGACATAATTGATGACTTTACATTGATTATTACTATTCTGGATAGAGGTTCTTATTTTTTGTCTATGACTTTCGTCAGGAACTAATATGTACAGACACTGTATTTGAAAACGTGAACAATTTGAGTTCTAAGTGACTCAAGGGTGTTTTGCTCACCATGAGACCTGAAGGTCCTGTGTTTTATCCCAGTTGAAATTATTGGTGTGCACTGTTGCGAAATCCCACACTGATGAAATGTCTGTTCAGTACCAAACCTTCCTTGATTTGTAATGGTTCCCCACATTTGATAAACCTTTGCGACACAAAACCACCTAACAATCTAATAATAGATAATAATGAAGAAAACATAACGAACGAATTCGAATAACTTAAATTTCGAAATGATGGGTCTACATAAGACTATTCTATTGTTCCATATAGTTCGTTAATGAAATAGGCTTCGTACACGGACGTGATACTTGAACAATAATCTAAAAAATGAATTTTACAATATTCAGACATTCGAATAAGCAGTTTGAACAATCCGGCTGGCAAGCTAATTTGATTGCAAATTTAAGTAGTAGTCGAAATACTAATGAGCAACAAGTGCGAAAAATAGTAAGTTTACGATTTTCTACAGGAAAATAAGGAGTACAAGTGAAGTGTGAAGATGATATTATGAAAAAGAAACTAAGGACTTAAAAACGAAACACAAAAATTCGCTATACCTTAGTTAAAGCCTTTTCATTGATAACTGGACCTAAATTGGTATTTGGATTAGCACCGTTACCCATGTGAAGACGAGAAACGGCCTCAGTTAGTTTGTTAACAAATACGTCATGTATTTCATCATGAACAAAAATACGATTTGCTGATATACAAGTCTAGGAAAGAGGAAAAATACAGGAAGCAAAAAAAACACCTTGAATATTTAAATCGGATGAAAATATAATATCCTAATGACAAGTAGCTTACATTACAAAAACATCTAGATTGCGGAACCAACATATGGCTAACACTAGTAATACATCAATCACACTAAAGTAATTCATAATATATGTAACATGTAACAATGGTGTACAACAGCCCCTAAAAAACACATTGTGATCACTACAAGATGAATGAAATAAAATCTAACCAACAGTAAAGTATCTGATAAAGTCTAAGTGATAGCAGCTGTAAAGCAATCAATTCACTGAAGGATTTCCACAGTCATTGTACGAAAAGTATATCGTTTCAGAACTTGGTAAATGATAGATATAATATCTACGGAGTGCTTGATTTCATGCATACACATCTTTTGTGTTGAACAGGTGTAATTTCAGTATATTCCATTGTTTGTATATTCTTTATTCTATATCTGAAAAGTATTCTTCACAACCCAGTCATTTTTACCTCTTAACGTGAATATAACATACTAAAGTTATAACACGTAAGCCAAGTCACAGGTTATACATTTAATTATTACTTATTAAACATTTCACAAAAAATGGCGTTTATTGAAAAGGTCTTCAGGGATAATTCATCCTGAGAATGTCCTACTCCCATCGTTTTTAAGTTTAAAGCTTTAGTTTTAAAGCAGATTCACAAAAAAATTAATTGTTGAACTGCTAATAAAGGTCAGGAAGTACTAGACAGCCGTTTCATCCCAATATAGGATAACCCAGTAGTGCGAGCCCATAATCCAACCAGGGGTCTAGCCCCGGACCTATGGGTTTCAGGAAAAATACTTAACCATTAGGACCACTATGTCGGTACCTAGTAGTACAATTCTAACGTTCAATGATACTGCAACTGAGATCAATTTGTAACGAACACAACCCCTTCAACTAAAATATATGATCATAAATTGTTCGTTGAAACTAGGAGATTTAAATAATCCAACAAAACAACAAGTGTTCTATTTCATAAAACATAATACTAATTAGGTATCGAACGGACGAACTGAACTGAATAAATAAAACTTAATTCCACAAAGAAATAATAAATACAATATGATGTACATTGTAGACTGCAAAACCAATACTCACTTGTCCAGAACAACGAAATTTACATCCTACTGCGCCAGTAACGGCTTTATCAATATTCGCAGAATCAAAAATAATAAACGGAGCATTACCGCCCATTTCCAAAAGAACGCGTTTACCATAATTAGCAGCTTTGGCGTAAAGCATCTATTAATAAATAGAGTTAAGAAAACAGTTTGAAACTAACAACAGAAAATAAAACAGAAACGAGAACACAAAAGCAACAACAACACCAAGCATTTGTGTGAGAAGTACGCAGATGCATTATGTAGTGTTCAATTGAAGAACAGCATATTTGATTTGATTTATCTGTGACAGTTTTGGTGTTTGTTCCAATAGGTTAGACGTTAACACCATTGAATGCTGGCTTAGTGGTCTAGAGGTTAAGCGTTTGCACGCGAGACCGACAGGTTTTGGGTCCGAGTCCTGTGAGCGGGGTCGTGAATAAGAACTGTTGAGGAGTCCCATACTAGGATGAAACGGCCGTCCAGTGCTTCCAGGTTTTTTATAATGGTCTAGCTTTAATTAACTCATGATTTCAAATATTAAATTACTAAAGATCTCTACGAAAACCCCCTTCTAATTTTATTGATTGGATTTATTCAAAGTGAATTTTGTTCATTGACTTTCAACTGTATTATATCATTCCGTATAGAATTAGTTATTGGATTTTTAATGCATTTTTCCTTATATTAATTAATTCACCGTGATTTTTGTTACGTCCCGATAAACATAGTGAATGGTAACTTTGGGATCCTTTTATGGACCAAAACTAAACGCATCGTATAATTGTTAAATAACTAAACTATTCATATTCATGTTCCTCTTATTATAAGCTTTATTTTGACCTATGAACTAATATTATACGTTTTACCATTCTTGAATTATGCCCTGTCTATTAATCACTACTTCCCACACTCACAGCCACATTTGGCCAAATCTTGTACAAATGTTATTTTCTATTTTATGGTACGATGTGGTCTGCTTGATTGGTATATAAACAGAGTATGTTTGAAATACATGATTCATATTGCAGAGGCTGATATTGGTGTTCTGGACTTAACTGGCTGGACTAGGCGGGAAGCAGGACCAATCGGGACTCTAGGCTGCTCGCACGTGTTTTACGCGTACTTGATCCGATCGATAATTCACTGCCCTCTAATTGGCGGTCACAAGTTATAACAATTTTGCGTTACCATAACTGGTCAGTTGATAAAATTTTGTGACTAATAATTATTATATATTTAAAAATACGAAGTGATGGGAGAAATATTTCTTCTCAATTTAATTCTTTATCAAGGCTTTACACAAATTGAAGTCCATTTAACAGTGTAATGATCAGTTAATAACAGAGTTTGGAAAATTAAAGCCGAAATTTCATAGCCTATTAATTATCAAAACAAATAACATAAGAGTAAGAATAGAAATGGAAATTGGATGTAAATATAAATGTCTTTTTGTTATCTGTGGTATTAGGAATAAGTAATTAGTATAACAGATGAGGTGAAAATTAGGTAATAAGATTATTAGACAGGTTACGTAAGACTTGAATTGGAAATTAAAATATGAAAAAGTCAAAGTTTGTAAAATTTTTATCAAACTAGCCAATGTGAAATATTTTCCTAATAAAAGTTAGTAGTATTGAATTACGACACAAATAGTTAATTATTTGTGCTGGATAATGAGAAAAGTTATAGTGATATTGTCTACCTCACTGAATAAGTGAAGTGATAATTGATAGGAAATGAATAGTGAAATATGATAAACTCAATAGGAAGTATAAAAATGTATATTTCACCGAGTAAGTTTACAGACAGTGGTATATGAAGCGACAAAAGAATGGTCCCCAAACGCCCTGTTACGGCCGAGGGTGGGGAGGGTCTTCTCGAAATGCTCTTGCATAGTCACGTGCATACAACCACTGCCAGGGAATTCTTACTGACTGAGCGAGGTTGTTGTTTACGACATTGAGAGGACGAAAAGCGAATGTCCGAAACTTTAACGAGGTTCGTGGACATCGAGAGTCCACCTAGGGGTTTGGAAAACCCTGATTCTAAACCAATGTTACACATGGGCTCCAGGATCCTGAGAGAACAAATGCCGTATTAACCCATTGTTGGTCACCCGCTTCCATGGGACTGCATCTCCTAACGTTGCTCCACTGCCTTGTGGATCAGACCTGTAGGTTGAAGGCTCCGGTTGCGGCCTCCTGAGAAAACCACCTGCCTCGGTTTGGGTACCCGAACAGTATCACATCCCATACACAAATCAACTGACGACTACTACTGGAAATATTATTCTTGCTTCAATTAGCATTCAGACAAATCACAATGACCATCATTTGATAACATTCATTTTTGTTTTTTATATACCACGTCATTTATCTACTCTTCTATTCTCACTTTATGTATTCTTGTTTTTCAGCTCATCTATGATGGAAACCCTCTTTTGGGTGGCGCATATGTATTTGGTACCTCTTTGTACCATTACTTATGTGTTCAAATAAATAAGTAAATAAATCGACAAAAGAATGGTAGTAGTAGTAGTAGTGGTAGTAGTAGTAGGTTGTAAAAAGCTAGGAGAGGTCAAACCAACCCATGGCACCAGTCTATGAAGTTATTGACTGTTGGACTGAAGCATATAGGTGGGTGCAGATTATCTGATTGGGGTGCGTGTGACTATCGTAACTAATTGTTAGAGACTGAGTGACAGCTTAAAATCGTCCACAGTAGTGCAGGTGCATTAACTCTTCATGTTTCCTTAGTTTTTGGAACCCACTATTTTGTTTCCCGTTTTTAAATACATAATCTTTTGGTAAATAAAGAAGGAACGAATTGAGCGAAGAAATTTCTTTTCAATTAGTTTTTCATCATGGCTCTACACTAATATATATACGTTTTACAATAATAATATAATACTCATCGAGTGGATACGTTACGTAATAATTACATAATGACATTTAAATTAACATTAATTAATTGGAAGAAAGAGGATTATTAATATTCAAAGTGATCAAGAAGTTGCTAAGTTGCGTAATGTAAGAAACAAAGAAGGAACAGAATTTTAACGGATGGTCAATAGGATGGTAGTTACGTAAGAATCAAGAGATGAATGTTGAGAAGTTATTAAGTTCAAAAGCAACAGAAATAAAATTACAAAAGTTTAAAAAATTACAAAAATTACAAAAGTTTTAAAAATTAAAAAAAAAAGATGGAAGAAGTATGAAAAATAGTTCTTTTGAAGGAAATCTTAAACTGATGGCCAGGGCAGGGAAAGTGGTTGTACGAATCTCTTTTGTATGCAAAGGTCAGGTTTGTGAACATGGATTGCCACATGGTTTACGAGTGCGCCTCTTGCACATTGCGGAAGCCATCGCAATCCATGTTCACAAACCTGACCTTTGCATACAAAAGAGATTCGTACAACCACTTTCCCTGCCCTGGCCATCAGTTTAAGATTTCCTTCAAAAGAACTATTTTTCATACTTCTTCCATCTTTTTTTTTTAATTTTTAAAACTTTTGTAATTTTTGTAATTTTTTAAACTTTTGTAATTTTATTTCTGTTGCTTTTGAACTTAATAACTTCTCAACATTCATCTCTTGATTCTTACGTAACTACCATCCTATTGACCATCCGTTAAAATTCTGTTCCTTCTTTGTTTCTTACATTACGCAACTTAGCAACTTCTTGATCACTTTGAATATTAATAATCCTCTTTCTTCCAATTAATTAATGTTAATTTAAATGTCATTATGTAATTATTACGTAACGTATCCACTCGATGAGTATTATATTATTATTGTAAAACGTATATATATTAGTGTAGAGCCATGATGAAAAACTAATTGAAAAGAAATTTCTTCGCTCAATTCGTTCCTTCTTTATTTACCAAATGGCAAAATGGGAATTTTCACATAATCTTTTCTAGTAATACTGATACCGCTACTACTTTTGCTACTCTTCGATTTGACCTAATAATTTTATTTCGCTAAGATAATGTAGTGTAGCGATTTGAACCGACCCATGTATGTGTCAGATTCTACGTTACATACGACTGAGTGATTGAAAACTAAGACATTTTCAAAATAAAAAGTAAAATGATTATAATAACAAAATGATGATGTACTTAAAATATCCCAACGATAAGAAATTTGAATTCCTATCGTTACGCAACTTAGTGAAAGTGTATTAAAATACTATTTTATTAATAAAAAATATTTTTATGTGCACTGATCACAGGAATCCTAAAATAATAATTACACATACCGTTCCCACTTCTGTAGAGCCAGTAAATCCAATTAAACGAACAATGGGATGAGTACATAATACATTTCCGATTTCTTCTGCTCCATTGTCATCAACTGCGGCTGTGATTACATTCAAAACACCTGGAGGTATTCCTGCTTTTTCAATACCAAGATAAGTAATAGCCAATGATGTTAATGGAGTATCTTCAGCTGGTTTAATAATTACAGAGCATCCTGAAGCCAAAGCAGCACCAACTTTTCGTGTTACCATAGAAAGTGGAAAATTCCACTAAGTATATGAAAATACATTAACATTTTCAACTTGTTAGTAAACATAAAAATCACCATAAATTACTTTCCTTTCATAATCAGTTAATTATGAAGTGATTTTTTCTAAATATTTACTTGCTTTGAATGTAGCACAGCTCTTTCTTTTTTCCAAACGTATAAGAACATTTCACCATGTGAGTAAGCGAAATCATTGAAAATATTGAGAGAATAATTGTATGATAAAACTCAGTTTATTATAAGCATAATCGAATTCAAGATATTAAAATTAGTTGTAACTTGTAGAAGAAAAAATGTCAATATCTCATAATAAGGAAAGAAAAGGCAGAAAGTATGAGTAACTGCCAATTACCAGATGTGATAAATACATCCTGCAGATAACTGTACCAACGGAAGCATGTTGGATAAATTAGTCACTTGACTCCATTATTTTATTCAATGACTACATTCAACTGATTTTCGGACTTATAAGTACATCCGGCGTTTTACAGCCTCCTAATATTAGGTGAAATTTCAAATATAATAACTCTACATGTTTTAAACAAGTTTCATATAAAAATGTGAATAATAACGTGTTATTACTAATTCACACAAACAACTAGGATTAGGAGGGTAAAACAATACAACGAAAAGGAAGCATGATCTAATTACCGGAGTAATTACACCAACAACGCCAATTGGTTGTTGAGCAATTAGCTGACGCCGTGAATGAGAGCTTAGTGATGGAATATAAAGACCAAAAACACGTTTAGCTTCCTCAGCATACCATTCCAGAGCGGAAACACCTGACAGAACTTCATTACGTGCATCAAATGACGATTTCCCCTGAAAAATAAAAATAATACAACTTATTGATTTTATAGTCAACACTATGGACTAAAGTTAGTTAAACAATAATGGGGAACTAGAAAGCAATAGAAAGTTGCTTCATTTTAGTATAGGACTCAGTAATAAGCATCTACAACCTCACCATGGATAGACTTAAGGACAGTTATATACCACGGCAATCAACCAAATCGCAAAATCGCCCAGGGTCTGACAATCAGTGGAGTTGTGGATGCGCAGTGCCGAGGAGACGAATATTAGGATAAAACAGACGTCGACTGCTTCCTGGATTTCAATTAAGACTAGATGCTGACGATAAAATTTAACAACCTCGGCAAACTTCCTACACAATTTGTTCCTCACCAAAAACCTAAAGGTCATGAATTTGGACCCCCAATAAAGACCGTTTAGCAAGTACTGGTGATGGGTAGTGAATAATAACGAAATAGTTGATCACTAGCAATATGATGTCTAATGGTTTTCCAGTTGATGGTTGTGCATGATGAAAACTGTGTTCAAACTAGACAAAAAAACTAGTCATCTAACTAAACAAACGTCATGGCTTTCTGAATTTTAAAATTTTGGATATATATATATATATATATATAATTTAACAGGAAACGTGATAGTAAATTGTAATCATAGAGTCAAGGAATAAATGCTCAGTATTAGTGTCTAAAAATGTATAAACAGACATAACAGAATATCTCACATTTTCAGCTACAATAAGATCCGTCAATGAGTCAACATTCTGTCGAATAGTATCTGCCCATTTACGTATAACTGACGATCGTTCCCCCGGTGTTTTCGATTTCCATTCTTTTTGACTGACTGAAGCTACATTGACGCTAATCTCACATTCACTCTTTGAACAGGCTGGAACCAAACCTAAATGTTCACCTGTAGCCGGATTCACAACTAGAATAAATAAATATTTACGAATATATGTAACTATGTATGATGACGGATGAGAACAATACTGTATTTACAGGAATGCTACAAAAGTCATGCCAACTCCAATTAACCTGATACTATGGTGAGAACCAGTTTAATAAAATAATCGTTTAACCTACAGAACTTACTTTCGAATACTCTTCTGAACAATTTCAGTTGAAGGCTATTATTAACAGGATTTCATGAGTTATTTCTAAGAATTGCTTAATCAACTTTAATGTGTCTAAAGTGAGAAATTATTAGTTATCTATTGAGAATTGTTGGCCGTTAACTAATGAAAGCTATAACCACAAAGAATAGTTGTATTCAAGAGTTCATATCCCTAAGGACTACATAACAAAAAATAAAAATCAATTGAATTTAGATTGTGAAACAGGTAAAATAACTAACCGAATATCCATCGAATGCCAGTTAGCAAAAGAATAAAACTTCTTAGAAGCTTAGACTGTGTGAACACCAGATTAGAAAATATATAGTAATTCAGTTCAGTTACACTAAGTAAAATCTTAATATTAGTATACTGTAGATTATACAACACTCCTCCCCCTCCTCACAGAACAAGATAATTGTAAATAAAGGCAAAACCGATGAAAATAGAAACAAAATCAGCTAACAAAAAGTCAGTCAGTCAGTAACAACGTAGAACTTCGTACATCAGTTCGAGTTGCCATACCGCATTAGCACAGAGATGCTGTGGTCGATTCAAATCCCATAGTGGTAGAGGTAGTAAGAGTATAAACAGTAATCGGAAAGATTAGGGTTTGGAGATGTTATTGAAAGAGTATAATCCAGTGAAATAAATTTGGGAAGAGAAAAAACAGACAAGGAGGAATCAGGAGATTAGAATTTGGAAGAACAAAAAGAGTGGATTCACCTGCACCATTGCAAACGATTTTGAGCCATGTTATTCAGGATCTCTAACCATCGCTGTTTTTTTTTGTTTTTTGCTAACAAAAGGTATTGTAACACAGTGGAAGTCAACATAGCTCAATATTCGAAACTATTAATAATTAACTTAGTTGAAGGGGTTTTATGGGAATTGACTGTTTTTAGGTTGTATTAGTCATAGAGGTATATCCTCAGTTGAAGTATTACTGAAAACTTAATGAGCTATTTTGTCCTAATATGGGACACTTCAGAAGTGTGCGCCAACAACCCCACCAGGGGTCAAGACCAACACTTTTAGATTTCGTAGCGAAAGCTTAACCGTTAAAAATAATGGGTCAGAGTCCAGTGGTATAATATCAATCCCAATTAATTTGTGATGTAACACGGCATTTGTTTTATCTTAGTATTTCACTCCTGACATGTCTGAACTGAACCAGTCGCGACTCATTACCTCAATGATGTTCCAACTGTGATCGATCTGTGACGAACACAATCTACTAATTAATACAATTCAATTTTCCTCAGAATTCAAGTGCAAGATCTTATACTCGGCTCTAAGTTGCATTTCTATTGATGAAAGTTGATATAAATCCAATAAGTTGAGTGAGAAACGAACCTGCAACCTAATTATTGAAAGGAAAGTGTCCTAACCAATAAGGAGCTGATTAACTTTTAGACGTTACGATTTACACTGCTGGATATCTTTGACCATTAAAATGCCATACAATACAGAGTGAATACGCTAAAACGAACAGCAAATACAGCCGCTGTTAGTTACAATTTCCTGATTTTGTAATTAAACACAAATTTCACTAGCCGTTCGTTCAAACATCACTAAATATTATAATCTATCACTGAAGTTTTAATACTAGACTGATTTCAAGTTTTTTTATCTAAAAAATTTCGTTGAGTGAGAATAAAATATTATGAGACATTATAATATTACAGTGCTCTACAGGGATAACTTTTAAAGATCAACCCTAGAAAAGTAATGTACGAAGACAAGTTTATGTAGTCCTGAATGATAGATAAGCATAATTTCAACGAAAATTTAAATTTCTTTGAGGAAATCCGCAAAAAGTAAACAAACCCGAAAACGTTTTTCCAGACAAGGAAGGTTCCCATCTCCCCGAATAGAATGCTTTGTTTTCTGGAACTAACTGGCCCCAAAATGGTCCCATCCGACTGCATGATAAACTTAGTTTTACACTGGGAGTATATAATACATTTGGTTTCGCGAGCCACCATTTTCGCACACACTAACACAGAAAGAAAACAAAATTATATGTCTTTCTATCGATACTGAAACTGAATAGCAAACTGCAGATACATTTACTGGATTCTTAGCCGTGTTTTCGCATGAAGACAAGTGATGCTACTTGGTTACTGAAACTGAAGCAGTCGAAATGTGGTTCGAGTCCATCACCCAGTTCTTTCAAATACCGATACAACTAACTTATCGACAAAAATTGCAGCGATGTGATTAAAGCACAAGATTTTCGACTACTAGGCGTAATGCTTAGGCTTTGCTCCACCAACTGTGACTTGGGAAGTTGAGCAATACTACTAAACCAGACAGTCAGTCAGCTACAACATAGGACCAGGCACATATATGCATCGGTCCAGGTTGCCATACCTCATTAGCACAGCAAGATGAACACCAGATTAATAGGAGTGGTTAGGTCAAAGGTGGTAATATATAGGAGAAAGATTGCATATAAGGATACAGTACAGGAAGAAAGAATTAGTTAGTAGAAAGAAAGATATGAAGTGATTTTAATCTCTTAGTTTAAGGGAAGACAGGGAGTGCATACACCTACGCCATTGTGATCGATTCTGAGCCATGTCACCCAGAGTCTTCAATCATCGGTTACGAAAGTCACGCGGACCCCAACCAGGTAGTCTGCATCTACCAACATGACTTAGACAAGAGGTTAGTGTCTTCAAGCACTGATGCCACGTTTTGGTTTGGCCGCCCCTAATTCTCTTCCAACCATCTCTAACACCGGTTAGCATTGCACGACGTGGTAATCGGTGTCCGGGCATACGTAACACGATGAAGATTAACAACCTCATCAACTGATTTACCATCATTCCCTAATACCCTGCGTCTAACCTCACTATTACTTACTCAGTGATCCCAACAGACGCCAGCAATATTTCTAAGGCATCTGTGGTCAAATACTAGTAGCTTACGAGTGTCTTCTACTCTTAAAGGCCATGTTTCGCTGCCGTAAATTAAAACAGAACGGACTGCCGAGCAGTACACTTGTCCTTTTATTGATAGACAGATATCTCTCCTTCGCCATAGGTGACGTACGTTGGCAAAAGCCAAACGAGCTTTTCGAATCCGTGCTGAGATTTCGTCAGACACCAACCCATTAGGGTTGATTAGACTTCCAAGATAAGTGAAGTTGTCAACGCGTTCGACTACTTCACTCCCTATCCTTAGTTCAGGTGTTGACGCAGACCAGTCCTGAAGCAACAACTTGCATTCAGAGGGAGAGAGGCGCATTCCAAACACTCTGGCATTGTTGCTTAGTGCTACCAAAAGACTCTGCATTTTGTCAGCGTCTTCACCAAACAGGACTATATCATCTGCGTATTCTAAGTCGATAAGTGGACCTCCTGGTAGGAGATCAATACCCGAGAATTCAGTCGACGAGAATGTTATTTCCATCAGTAGGTCTATGATGAAGTTAAACAGAAATGGAGAAAGTGGACAGTCTTGACGGACACCACTTGAGGTTGCAAAAGTAGATGACAGTTCGCCATAAGCTCTGACTCGACCGGTGGTGTTCGAGTAAAGAACCTTTACAAGGTTTATGTACTTCTGGGGTACGCCTTTCAATGACAGACACTGCCACTAAACCGGACAGGAAACGTGTAGCTCAGTAAGATATATAAATCCGCACTTAATCATTAGATCGTATTACATTACATCAATCCATTTTATTGCTGTTCATCAAAAATACGTAGAATAATTGTAAGATCAGGCAGACAAGCTATGATTGAGTGTGACTTCAGGAAAAAATTAGGTTTAATTTCCAAAGAGACCAATAAAGACTCATGACCAGTTTATTGGAAACATGTATTCATAAATTACATTTATTTATTTGAACACATAAACATTGATACAAAGGGGCAACAAATACATATGCGCCATACAACAATAATGAGGCTAGTAGTAGTTATCATTGATTAGTGGAATGGAAGTGATACTGTCCGGGTACCCAAACCGAGGCAGGTAGTTTTCTCAGGAGGCCGCAACCGGAGCCTTCAACCTACAGGTCTGATCCACAAGGCAGTGGAGCAACGTTAGGAGATGCAGTCCCATGGAAGCGGGTGACCAACAATGGGTTAATACGGCATTTGTTCTCTCAGGATCCTGGAGCCCATGTGTAACATTGGTTTAGCATCAGGGTTTTCCAAACCCCTAGGTGGACTCTCTATGTCAACGAACCTCGTTAAAGTTTCGGACATTCGCTTTTCGCCCCCTCTATTTCGTAAATAACACCCTCGCTGCGAGAAGTCAGTGAATAGGAATTACCTGTCAGTGTTCGGACATTCGCATGGTATCATTTAAGATTCGGTGTGAAATTATGAAGGTTACCGATGTAAGGTAAATGATCAAACCGCAATTTAAATAAGCAAACTTGTGACGTGAATAACTAGTGTCCTATTCTAATTCGGAAAGTTTGAATGACTTACAATTGATTGATCACTAGGTGGTAATCAATGTCATGTATGTTAGATCCTTCTTAGTGTAGATCGAATTATTTATTTATTTATTTTAACACATAGATATTGGTACAAGGAGGCACCAAATACATATGCACCACACAAATCTCATTCGATATGTGTGAGGGCTGAGATACTGCCCGGGTGCCCAAACCGAAGCAGATCGAATCCTATCGACCAAGTTGGAATGTGGCCATCAGTCTAGGTGACTCGACATTGCGTGCACTATGTTGATATAAGATGGTGATTGGAGGTAGTCAACAGGGTTCCCTGTTGAGCCATCCTTTCCCAATGATAATTTCCCTATCTATCTTTTGATGAATACTTAGGCCAATAACAATCAAACGATTATTAAACTTTCCTTATTTTAAATTTTTTTAATACACTTATTTATTTAACCTCACTGACATGTATAACAAGTTTATTATCAGTATTATTATCATCCTGTAAATATATATATATATATATATATATTTGCGATTGTACAGCTTTGAAAATGAATTCGCCGAAAAGAGAATTTTTTGCTGAACTAATCTTACCTATTTAATGTCTTAATGGGTGTATTTCGTTTATTAAAAAACTCCAAGGACACGAGATTTTGTTAGAGTACCACATGTGATACCAGCCCTACTAAGCACAAGTACCATTTTGATTATTTATTAGCGAAATGACAGTAGGTGAAAGAAAGGGGTCAATAGGATGAGTAAAGATGGTTATTTATGGTTATTAAAGTGGATGTCCGGACAGTAAGCATTTATGGATTATTACGGAGGATGATAAGTACTGAACCTAAGGCACCAAGTATCCTCAAACAGCCTAAATCAGACATTAAATAACTCATGTGTGAACTAAACTACCTAATCTATATAGGTGTCGTTAGCAAGGTTTAACTTGATAATTTCGAATAAATTGAGCATTGAGTAGATTGTTAAAAATAAAATTAATATATTTGTAATATCTCGATGAGTCGAAAAATTAGGTTTTTTTAATTCTTTGATGTTTCATAACCCAATGTATGCCACTTCCTCAGAGAATAAATAAACAAATTAAATTAACCCGTTTGAATAGTACAAAGTAACAAAGCAGGAATATTTGATGCGATCAATCAAAAACAGGTCCGATCAAGTCAGTCATTTCATTCCGGTCGAGGTGATTTATGTGAGGCATGACTATATATTTGTGTGCATGTTAAAGGACGGAAAAATGTGACCTTTGTGGTGCGAAATGATACAGTTGAAATTGTACATGCGATAAAGGTGTGAGATGTTAATAGAATCGGATATAGTAGCTCGGAGAGATGATCCAAATCGGATGGATAGTGAGGCCTCCTTTTCTATTGAAGGTAGTAGGATTAAGAAATAAATGAAAAGCTTCAGATACTCGCCCTTCTTTGTAGTTCGAAAAACCTTTTTGTATTATTTTGATGTTTCTAATATCGATTCGATGGTTGTTGAAAATAGCATGAAGTGCTATTGTTGATTTAATTTAGAGTCTTTACAGTTCTACGGAATTATTAAGCTGTTTAAGCGCTCGTCGTAAGGGAGTTTTGAAAGACCACTAATTTTGCTACCACACATTGAACACGCTCAAGTGAGTTCGTATCCTTAATAAAACATGGATCCGATGCTTGGATACAATATTCTAAGTGTGATCTTACGTAGGTGGTATACAAAGTTCAAAACATCTCGTCAAAGCATTTGAATGCTCGGAGAAGTGACCATAAAGCAAGAAACCCTTTGGCAACTGCTGCGTTGCAATGCGTAATTGTTTACAAGTCGTGACTTACTATTACCTGAAAGTCTGCTCATGCACGTATGGAAGAGACGCGCCGTATATAGTATACTGATGAATGTTACCGTATCCGATGAGCATGAGTACACTAGGATTAATTTTGCTAAGTCCCAACATTGGGATCAATTATTTGTCTAGGTCAACTTGACCATTAAAATGATCAGCCTCACTTCTTATTGTTCTTTAGATTTTGACACCATCTGCAAAAAATATTATCAACGACTTAAGAAATTGCAGTAATTCGTTGACATAAAAAAAGGAAAAGTAGGAGACCTAAGACTGTCCCTTGAATTATGCCGCTTTTGACCAGCTTCCACTCAGAGCGTCCCATTTACTATCACTCTGTCCTCGGACACATAGGAAGCTTTTTATCCATTCCTGTGCAACAACTGTTATTTCGAAGCTCGAGAGCTTCTGCATAAGACCTAAGTCAGAATCCTTATCAAGTGCTTTGCTAAAGTCTATGAATAATACATCGACATACAGACAATTATCTAGGGCTGCTGTCCAATTTTGTCTCGCAATAAGTTGGTTAAACATGAATGCTTGTTTCGAAAGGCGTGTTGCTCGGAGGTTAACAGATTGTATGATTCTATGACTTAGTACCTTAAGCCGAATCATCTTCTCAAGTAAATTAACTACTATGCTGGTCAAAATGACAGATCAGTAGTTAGATACGATCTGTCAACTTCTGAAACTTACTACTCGAATAAGTGATGTCTGGAACATTAATGTAATCACTCGAGAGAATTTTCTTAGCCTTAGTCCCCGAAATCCGGTGTTAGGTCAGACATTCACAGAAGCTTACTAGGAAAGGAATAACATGGTCCGTCGGACCACTATGCTAAATACCCATCCAGGTTGGGGATAAGAATCTGGTTAACCAAGTCGGTAAACTTCAGTTGTACAAAATTCTACCAAAAGTTAGTAGCACCCAATCTTCCTATTTTCGGGAAAACTTTGTACGCATTTTGGGTAAATTACGTAGCCGCAATAGAAAGCTTTAGGGAAACGGCACCAGATTCTCAATATATCACCGGATTTTGGAAGGATTACTAAAATGTTAGGGGAAATCTCAGGTCCCCCCAATATTTCCGCAAAATCTCGCAACACTTTGGGGCTTTTCCTCAAAATCTTCCCAAGCCTTGGGGAAAACTGCAAAATTTTTACGAATTTGATGGAAAATCCACATTTCACACAAAATAGGGAGATTAGGGATCAAATGAACGTTCTGTTATTTGATGAACATTCAGTGAGACTATTATTTATGGACGACCTTCTAGCGACGCTGAAGTGGCCTTGAGGGAACAACTTCTAATTAAGACTAAATGAGGGTTATAAAGCTGTTAGAATTCTCATTTATAGTTGATGTTTAGGGTTTAAAATTAGATTCAGGGTTTTCACCACGAACTGACATCAGCTTTTTAGCCAAATGTATGAACGAATTCCGCGCCAAATTCGTGAACCATTATCTTATATCTGATTGGTTCGTCTATAAATTATAGTCTCGCCGACCATTCTCCTAAACCTTTTTAGAAGTTAGTTGACTGCTACAATAGGCAAACATACTTTGTTTCAGGAAAAAATTATCTACAAACAACTCTTATGAATGGCGGCACTCCACCTGCTTTATCACAATCTTACCCTAGTGTCACACCATCTAAAAGTCATTAGAGTTTGAGAATTCGCAGAGTCACGCGTAAATTCAAACCAATCACTGTTGGTCACAAGGTCATATCGCGCAACACTTTAAATTAGCCGCTTGAAGTAACAGTGCATCAAGTCTTCTGTCCTTACCTGTAAGAATGGAAGGTCAAATGTCCTGGATTATTCTTTGCAATTTATAGTGCCGTGAAAATCAAATCTTACTTTAAATGTATCGAAAAGTATTACTTTTACATATTCGGGTGGAGAATTCCATCAAATCACCACTCGACGCGAAAACCAGAACTTCAAGCGTAAACGATTACATCTCGGTTTTTGAACATTTCTAAAATGTTCCCTCTGATGATCACTTCTTGATGGAAGGAAAAATAAGGCAGTTCTTGCGAGATCATATTTCTGTACCCGGTGAGTCAGCATAAGACCACTCCGTAACCCTCGGTATGATAACGGAAATAGGATGAGGTAAATCATTATGTCTTCATAAGATAGGCCAAAATAACCTTATTCCACTTTGCTTCTTTGACCAACTTTTCCTGGCATACTAAGCTCATAAGTAAAATAAGGACTCATTGCTTGAACCTCACATTCCAGGTGTAGCCTAATAAAATTCAACTTTAAAAACCTTAACATCTCTTCGTCAAAGTGATAAAATGACTCATGAATAGCCCATAAGACCTTCAAGCCTTTAGCAGAAGTAGCCTTTCAGTTACTTGTGGTCTTTAGATCATTGCCTTGATCTTTAAAATCCTTTACTGCAGGTGAAACAATCCCACTTATTGTATAGGGATGTGGATCATTTAATTAATTTATTTACATTATAGCACCCTCCTTGTAATTAACTTCGAGTAACCTCCTATACATCCATCCAACCAGTGAACTTAAATCATCCTCTTATATTACTGCATATGACATGTGTGGGTCTCCAAATATTTGTCATTTGCAAAAAGTAGGCTAAACTCCGCCTGAAGTCCCCACGGGGGCTACTGCCGGTCCCAAGCACGGATAGAGGAGGGGGGTTGGGCATGGGGTCAGCGTCCCCATCCTGTAGAAAACTAACTCGCTAAGAAGCAATAACCAGAAAAAATTATTCAAACATAACAAGTAGGATAAAAGACTTCGCTACATCTGTCAAGTCGTACAATTGTAGTTTGGTTCGGTATTAGTATTACTGTATTATTAAACCGAATCCAAAATTGTAGATTTGTCATCGCATGACTTCCTAATCTACAAGATCTTATGTGGAAGTCACATCATTGTCCACACTGGCTCGTCGTTTTATGACACAGCCATACGATGCTTAGCTCTTGTGAAGGACATATTTGGGCTAGGGATGGAATAGTATACTTGATGTTGAAAGGTATGAATTACACAAAAATGACTACGCCTACTACTCTGAGCCATGCCATACTGATCACTTTTACCCAAACTCATCGTTGTTGGCCTTCCCTTAGTGTTGCACGTTAAATATTAGTTCTCTCACTTACTTCATGTTCAGCTTGGAGAACCGTGTTGTTAGAACCAATATCATTACAAGTCTATGGTAAGCCTACTGAATATTTTACTATCTACTTGCTGTAGTTTAAACAATTAACCCACTATGTAAAAGTATGTGCGAGTCTGATTAAAAGGATGTCTGCACCCCAACCTTTATCTGGCCTTCCATTGTTTGTATATACAGTCAACCAATAACACCCTTATTGATTAAAATTTATAAAATGCATATAGACATTTAGACTTCATACCAGTACCGAATCACACACTTCCTAGTATGCTTACCCCTTTAGTGCTCATGGATTTTATTATTCGTCAACAACAGACTTTCTAAACAGGTGGTACCCTGAATTTTAAAATGCACGAGTAAATTCATGATAACGTACCCAGTTAGTGGGACATCACATTTATTGTCAAGTGAAGAAGAGTTAACCTCTACAAGTCATTAACATGAAGCACGTATAGAAGACGGCCAAGGATCGTATCTTGGGAAGCTCCACTCTCAAAAATCCTATGCTGATTTATTCGTATCCATTGTCCTCTATCATTGAGGACGTCACTTGTCTCGTCCATGATTTCATGATAGATCACAAAATTCTGTCAAAGGCTTTACTTGTATCAAAATTACATCTGTCGGAATATCTGTGTCTTCCTCTGCGGCTCAATCTTCTCTTGTATTGAGAAGATTTGTCAGGTATAATAGGCCTCCCCAAAAGCCATGTTGTCCACTAACGAAGAGATTATTCGCTTCCATGTAGTTTAAAACAATCATTCGAATAATCCTATCCTTTAGTTTGACGACTACACTTATCAGACTAATGTTTCGATAGTTACCAACTTGGTTTCAACTCCCTGCTTTGTAAATCGGACTGATAATTGCGTTTTCTTAGCCTAGAGAGTTCAGACTTCTGTAATAACATCAAATAGTATTGCCAGAGGTTTGTGGTTCTAGAAACCATTTTGTGCTTGAGTTTTCAATATATTCTTCTATTTTAAAATTAGAAAGAATGAGAATCGCTGTAGAAACTCGAAAAAATTTTTAAAGCTAATAAGACTGATATAGATTTCATGGATATTAGCCGACAGGTCGGCGTGATCTCTAATCCGGAAAAACCTGTATAGGTTCAGTAATTAGAAACCGTTTCTTTACTACGTGAACAATTGTTCTTTAAATGTTTTCCAAATCTTTGAGAATCATCTCGGCACAAATCGCTTGTCGGTTACCTGTTGGCTAGATCTGGTTCTTAAGATGCACTAGTATAAACTATATTTACATTACGATTACATTACATATAAATCTGGACTGTTTAGGTACGTCTCAAATGTAATGCTTATTACTGCTTTTATGTATTGGCTGCATTCATTACTTCACTACTTGCTCAAGAATACTACAACGTAAGTTTATTCAATCCGTTAGTCATCATTCATTGATAAAAATACAAATATATTTAGTGTTTAAGCGCTCCCGGTTTACCTTTTGTACGTCAGCTCACAGTTGGCTATTATTGAGTAGCGGTGCATGACTTGTTTCTCTGTTTTTGAGTGCTGAATAAGTTGCAGTTTGACCGCCGGTTCGAGTGATCTGATATGGTGTGATATGTTAGTTGGTTGGCGGTAGTCCTATAGATACCCTGGGTCTAAGCTAGAATCTAGTTGGGGCTCGTCAGCGAGATATACCTGAATTCTCGAGGGAATCGGCTCTCCCTGAAGAATTTCCGATAAAATTAACATTTAAAAACACGATGGACAAAGTCGTGCGTTGATAGAGGGATATGAATTATTTCAGGCATCTCGGTAATTCGTTGTGAATCTTATTTAATTCAGAGTTTTTTCAGTTTGATTAATGGTTTTATCCATTGTTGATGCTTTGATCACCTTAAATATGCCTCTATACTGAATTTCCGAAGTAACATCTACAATAGAAAACGTGGCATGAATAAGCGTTCGACTCTAACTAGTAGGTCGAACAGTTTCAGAACGGAAAATTTAAGCTCCTAAGGGGTCCAGTTGGGTTTAAAAAGACTTAGTGACAACACAGCTTTGACCAGAACAGAAATGTGAGTTCCCTCAAATTTCCAAGTACATATTACTGAAGAGTACCAAACAGCACCAAACTTAGTTACAGGT